TATTTTTTCAACCTTCCTTTGTTAGTTTTTTAGTGGTTTTATTTTTTTTTTATTTCTTTGATTATAATTTGATAAATATTTTTAAATATTGTTACTTTTATATCATGGAGATAGTGAGTACATTCCACTTTTATTTTATTATTCATATTATTTTTATTTTTATATATTTTTTTAATGAAAATTTTTGTCACTGCTCTGTGTACATAACCTATTTATATTCTTAAGCTACAGATAAAAGGGGCTTGATATTTTATCTGGACCTTAGTATGAGAAAACGATATTCATGATTTTTCCTGTATTTATTGCTTTTATTCTTTTACTGTAATAGATTTATAAAGTACTACTGACTTATCAATCTTGAAAATCATGTTTGATTTTTTTTCTTTCTTTCTTTATTGATATATGAACCGCTTTAATCCGGGTAACATGACTATCATGTCAAATGCAAATGCCCCTTTAAAAAGGGGCATTTGCATTGTTCCTATCGAGAAACAAGTGTGGAATCTAATGTCTGGTAGTCATGATTGGAAAGGTGCTGGCTCTAGGAGGACACCAATTCCAGGTTAGGTTAGGTTAGGTTAGGTTCCTATTCCTGTTGTTTACAGAAAACTGAATGTTACGAAAGAATAAGATATAACACAAATAACAAAATGTTACATTTTTTTTTCTTGTACTGAATTAATTACTTACTACATAGAGAGATGATATGGAGTCTGTGCAAAGGAAAAGGAAATAAAAAGACAAATATAGACATTGGCACTTACGTAACCTAATGCCTGTACTTTTGGCCGCGTGATTGCTGTGGCCCAACCGGATTCAAGGGGTTAAGTATTTTAAACCTCATGCATTGTTTTGTAACTTCAGTTCCAGTGTTTATTGTGTATGATATAACTAGAGAAAAGTATAAATAAATGCAATGAAGAGGATTAACAGCGGTTTTTATTGGTTAGATGTTATTGTTGTTTAGATTTTGTTTATATATATTTTTTCTCCATTTGTAATTCCATTTTTCATATCTTATATTTGAAAATTGTTATTGTTATTTACAAACAGGCAGACCTCATTATTAAAATTATACATTTCCTATTTCCATGGCCACTTTAGAAAGAACAAAGTACATTTACTAAGTGCACAAGAAAGCAAATGAAAAAACAGACATTCTATAGTTTAAATGTTTATGTTAATGCCCTCTCCTATACTGCGTACAGCTTTTACTTGTCAAAGGATCAGTGTTCAAAAATAATGACAATGATAATTACAGATAAATGGAATAAATACAGAAACATGTAAATGCATGGCATATAATGAACTTTTGCATATATTTTCTTTTCCCTTTCCATAACCTTTACTAGTTGATTAATATTTAACCTAAATTTTTATTTATCTGAAAATTGAAAACAAACGTTTCTTATATTTTCATTTGTTCTTCCTTGGTCAGTCATGAAACATATATTTAACATTTATATTTATATTTCATGTAAATCTTATAAAACATTATTTGGGTACTACTTTCACATCTGTCAGTTAATTGCAGCCCTATCTAAGCCTGAATTGTTATCATTGCATAAATATGGAAGTGGAAGGGGAAAGTAATGCTAGATGAAAATGTCACATGTCACTGCGCGGTAATTTACCCTTTTTAAAGCATATATAATTTAGAGAGGGTGAACCTTTAGGGTGGAAAGTATTATATCAAGTTGTCCTGCACTTTTTGTCTTGGTAGGAGAATATTAGCTGTCATCTTCAGAAATGTTGATGGCACCCAGTTATGTCTAAATTACATTGGGATTTATTATATATATTTCACAGATGCTTTATGACTAAAACAAGGGAGAATAAATAAACATGTATGGACAGTATTTTTTTGTTATGCTGACTTGTGAACTATCGTTTCAAAGTGGGAATCACTGATTTATATGCAAATTGAAAAGCAGATGTAGGTAACAAATGGGTATATGGTATATTTATTTATTTTTATTTCATTTTATTATTATTATTATTGCTTTTATTTTATTATTATTATTATTATTTATTTTGTTGGTAAATAGATTTCGTGAAAGCATTATCCTTTGGCCAGTATAAGCTGTAGGCAGTAAAGCAGAATGATGTCATAAACATTCTGTTAAAAAAAATTAAAACTTCATATGCTATCTCCTGCATTTTGTTTTAATCTTATCATGACAGGGCCAGAATTTTCCGTTTTGTAATTATTATGCAACAGTCTAGCTTTTGTGGCAGGGCGTATGCTGTGTACAGTTTGCCCACCTGCTCACTTGCTGGAAGGAGTCATGAGACTATACATGGCATTCATCTTTACATCATGACGGCTATAGCTGTACCCGTCCATAAGAGTTGGATATTGACATGTGAATAGCAATTTTTTTTAGCTTTGTTTACTTAACCCATTTACAACAGGTGTCCCACATATGAGACGTCCAGAAAAAAAAAAAAAAAAAAAAAAAAAAAAAAAAAAAAAAAATAGTGCGGGGTGTCCCGCCAGTGTGACGCTGGATTGGAGCTTGTGCTCCGATTCTGTCAGAGCGCAAGCGGTCAGCGCACGGGCAGATTCCGCGCCAGCCCCTCGTGCCGATTTTGAAGCCACCCGGAAACTATTATTTTCAGCTTCAAAATATACCTGTGCTAGTGGGTTAACAGTAGTGCTTATATTGTTATACTTGAATGCACTAGAGTTATGAGATAAAATCCAAGGTCAATAACCTTGGGGTGCCAATGTATTTATTCAGTCAGCTATACATTGATTGTAAAAAGAAAAAAGAAAATTATTGTAAAAGGAATGAATACGTAAAGAGTAGATTTAGGCCTACCTTACCTCATCTGTTTACTATTTTCCTTGAAATTTTTATTTTTATGACTTTAATATGTTAAATGTTACTGTTATCATTATCATTATCATTAATATTAATACTGATATAAATGTCATTATTTACATATTAGTAATAAGAATAAAAACTTTTCTTTTCCAAAAAGCTCATTTCTTTTCCAGGAATGGGGTAAACAGGTAAGATCAGTTAGGCCTAATTTGATTCCTTGGTTTACTAAGGACTTTTGGAGCCATGCGTGTGTAAATAAAGTTAAGGAAATTAAATCACCGTGGACTAGGCATGTATAAGTTCACTCGGAGTGTCAACAGGGCTAAAGAGTTACTGAAAGGCTGTCGTGTATCGAGTTTCCTAGTCTTATTTCTTGAATGTTATGCTCTAAGTCTTTTCATTTCCATGTGTGAGTCTTATATTCCTTTTGTGTTGTATTGCAGAAAGAATGGCGTGAAGATTACACTAACTTTAAGAAAAAAGTTGCCCGTTGTGTTCGAAGAAGTCAAGAGGATTAGGAGCTGTAGGCTATTAGCATATCCCTGGTATGTGGACTGACGAGTATTTCAAAAGTCTTTGGAGTCATGTATTTATATATCAAATGTGCAAAATTCCATACAACCAAGTAAAGATACACATATACTCACCCACACACCAACATACTTGCCCACGTCTAAATGACTGTATGCGAACACACCCACACACACGCACAAACTCACTCACAAACAAAAGCTAATACACACTGACTCACATGAAAACACATCCATACACTGACCCACATGCAAACACACTCGTACTGTCACACACATGCAAACACACACACACACTCACCCACATACAATCACATCCACACTCATTCGCTCACATGCAGATGCTTACACACTGAACATAGATGATATAACTTGTTCTATCAGTATTTTGTTAGGATTTTATCTTTCTTTCTTTCATTCTTTCTTTCTTTCTTTCTTTCTTTCTTTCTTCCTTTTCCTACATTAACTTTCCTACATTAACTTCCATTGAAAATTCATTTCAGTTATGAATAGTTTTGAGTGTTCTTATTGTTATCTTTCATTTGCAAGGCTTAGTTTTATGAAAGGGCTTTCATCAGTTCAAATAAATGACTTGTTAAGGCTCCCATAATTGTACCAACCCATAAAGATTAGCCTTTAGTTTTTACCTATTTTGAAACAATTTCTGCATCCATTTTGGTATGGTACCTGTTTATTGCTATAGTATATGCACAATATAAGGAGCAAGCAACATGAAACCAGTGTGCATTTTCATTGTGAAAGTACTACTTGCTCTACTTGGTATTACAAAAAAAAGGATTGGAAAGTATTTTAGATTTTTTACATACTATTTGCTGTTACTTTGTTATGAGAGCCTTAATTTTTTAAAACTTATTTATTTGCCTACTTCCATTCTTTCTTACTTACTTTATCTATTGGACTAGTGATCTTCGGGGAGGGCCAAGTCCTAGTAATCCATATTATTATAGAATGAGCATTTTTTGTTGTATGTTTTTAAGTAAAGAGAGTAGTTCTCACAATAAATGCAGGTATATTCATAACCAATTTATCAGTTGTTAAAGATACTCTTCATGATTTTCAAATAACTGGGCATGTGTAGATGACAAAGTTTCGGCCAGTTACTTGGTACATGCAACAGACTTGTATGCATTTTATTTAAACCGGAAATGCTCAAGATCCTGAAAATAATATAAAGGAGTATGAATTAAGCAACTGCATGCATACACTCAAACACACTCACTCACTCACTCACTCACATTCTTACCCGCTCACCCACTCACTTGTATGATTCTACTTGAATATGCAATTATCCAAGCATTAATAAGCATATTGTTAAGATAATTAGCATTAATCATACAAAAGGAGATAATGACATTCAATATTGGTCAGAAAATTTGTCCAAAGGAAATAACTCTTGCTCAGAAATTTTGAATAGTACTTATTAAGTTGTTCGAGTTTTGGTATTTCATTGTATGTTTTGTCTTCTCATTTTCTCTCTACCTTTTATTTTTTTACTCCTTGTTGTTTGTTCAGTGTTTCATCTTTTTTCTTTCTCCTTCTTTATGACTTAACCTTTGTTCCTGCTTATTCTTTATCACTGCTTTGAAATCACTTCATATTATGTGGTAAAGAAAACTAACATTTCCTTTACATCGGCAGGTTTTAAGAAAAGTAATAAAATGTGGTTGCCATTCCCAAGAGACTACCCATCATCTCATGTTTGGACAGCAACAACTGCCAACTCTGTGACTAGCCTGAAAAGAAGTGATAACTGAGATGTCTTGCGGCGTCTTGCAAATGTTGGCAGGAAAAGCAAAACAAAACAAAAAACAACAAAAAAACAAAAACAAAAACAAAAAAATGAAGAGGAAGAGTGAAATTGGTCACCCAAAGGTGGCCTTCAAACTTCAAAAGAGGAAATGGATGGATATTGGTTGTTCAAACACGTTGATAAACAATTCTGTAAAAAAAAAATAATAAAATAAAAAATAAGTGTCCAGAAATTCACTAGAAAGACGGTAAGAAGTGTGCTCATAGTGTGTTGGTGGTGCGTGAAACTGGGACCAGATGCTAAGACTTGCGAGTGAAGCCAAACGAAGGAGCCTTGGGCAACCTTGTGGCATTACGTCTGATCAGGGTCACATTTAAATGTCTGGTCAGGGTCACATTGTGAATCATAATTAAGGTCAAACCTCATTAACTTCCCCAGTGAAAAAAGGATGAGAAGAGGAGAGGAAAAATAGTAAAAATTGAAAAGTTATCAGCCATATCTTAGACATTGACTTCACCAAGTTGTGTCAAAGCAAGGCCTCAAACTCACATATCCTCTTTAAAATAGGCCCATTACCAGCTAAGGCATTCAAGTCCTACCTATTTTTTCCCCCTTTTCATGATGAAGATGTGTTTATTGATTTTTCTGAAATTTAGCAAAAGAGAGAGTTTGTTACCTTGCTCAGGAAAGACCAGGTGGGTTAACGTCTAGATACGACAGTCAGTTTGTGGAAGTAAAGACAGCAAGGAGATAGCCTTTCCTTACTTATATCCACAGTGCTCTTATAGATATTAAAACTACTTGGTAAAGTCCTACCATTAGAAGGAAATTACAAATTTATTATGCATCCTGAATTAAGCTTCTATTGCAGCTTTTCTTTCTGTCAACTGATTGCTTCAAGTTGTGTCAACGTTGACATTGTTATGTTGGTCCTGAGCAAGAGGAAATCAATTCTGATTTTCATAGCAGTGGAAACCCTCCAAAATTTATAATAATTTTAAGCATACCATTGTTTATTTTTTAACAGAAGCAATTGATGCACTTGGATACCATGGGTTAGAGCCTTGCCCATATCCAACTGGGATAGTCAGCAGCCAAATTTTGAGGTGTTTTCGTAGTCTCAAAATGGAGTCCTGATTATCACTGGCACTACTTGACCACAGTTTTTGCTTAAGTGTTTGGTCCTACATTTAAAGAAGACGAAGAAAAAGTGGATCTCATTGAAAATAGAATTATCAAATTCAAAAAATATTAGATAGTTAATATTTTTTAGATAATGAATTTAGAATTAGATTTGCAACTAAAGTCTTGAGCCTTAAACTTTATAGTGAAAAAGTGCAATTGCACAGAATGGAAATGCAGTTGATCTTCTTTTTTTATACTACAATACATTCAAAACTATGGGAAGTATGTACACTGTTTGCTCACTTTATCATGGAGGGGCATATGTAGTCGTGAATTGCAGTTCATCCAATCACAGTACTCGTCTATTCTACTCATGGAAGGAGACTGCTCAAGGGACCTCAGCCTGTTACCAGCCCTGTTTTAAGTTTAGGCCATAAATTATAACGTTTTGCAAACCACAGAGTTGGGCTACTCTTGAGGGAATGCTTTCATTCGTTTCTGTTATTTTGTTCAGTTTACTTATGTCTGATCTGTTTTTTTTTTTTCCTTTTTTGTCCATTCTTTTTTATATATAAAGTATAGGGAACCATACCTTCCAGAAGGGACACCCTCTTAAATCTGCAGCTACCTATGTTAAAAGTGTATATTGCTGAAAGTAAAGCACATGTGTTGGGATTGGAAGTAGAACACCATTGTTCTTTTGTCTAGGCCATGCTTGTTTTTATTGAGTTGGTGTACAAGGTGTTCCACAAAAATACAAAAGTTTACCATGTGCATGAGAAGTGGTTGAGGGTGTCCACTTGCAAATTTTTACAGGTCAGTGAATGAACAATTTTTAAGTACAGCTCCATCCCACCTAGCTTGACTCTGCCATGTTAGTTGACTACATGTTCTTCTGTAGAACCCCCATGAAGGATTTAATACCTCAAGTGTTAAGTTGTCTCATTGTGCAAATGTTGGGCCCAGGGGATGACAGTGGTATCTGCCTGCCTCTTTAGGGCTGAGTTTCAATTGGCAAGGAATTTGTTGGTAAGCCTTGAGGGGGTTAGGGTAGCACTGTCCTTGCCCAGTCTGGCAATTAATGAAAGCCCTAGTATGAAAAAAACAAAGTGTGATATGATACTGGACATTATGAACTGCTACTGTGAACATTTGTTTTATACTTTTTTTCCATATTCCTGCAATATGTTTTAAGTAACAGTTTGTAGCTGTCCTTATATTCAATAAACACCAAGCTTCTGAAGGATTTCATTATTGGGAAAGATAATATTCCCATTTTATCCCAAAATATATACAGGTTGCCAGCTGTCAAGTGAGTGTACATTGGCATTCTTACTTAATACATTTGATTTCATTCTCTTGAGTAAAATCATATTGTAGATACTCTATCTATTTAAGATTTGCCTACATTAAGCATATTTTTGCAATATCTTGATCACAATGTTAATTTAATCATACAATTCCAATACTATAGACATAAAAGCCATACAAAATAATGAAAAAAAACCCTAGTGGGTGATGGAAAATGAGTATCGCCATGTTTTGCCTGCTCTTCCTTATTCCCTGATTCTTCCAAGTGAGCTTGTGCCTACTGCCCTTTATAAACTACTATCTGCTGTGAGTACAAGTAGGACCTGGAAGGAGTTGAATGATGTGCTCTTTGTATCAAGAACAAATATAGAATATTGGGCATTAATTTTTACATTACTGTTACTGGCATAATGGAAGTGTAGTTCCCCCAAGTAGTATTGCTACATTTTTTAAAGAATGTAATGAGGTGACTTGCAACTGTCTCCTTATATTTCTACAGAAGTGCCTTGTTTAGGACAGCAGCTTGTTATAATGGTTATTTAAACATTAGAAATAGTGGCATTGCTTGCTAGTACTTCTTTAGTTGTTATTGTGGAAGTGCACATAGTTTGCTGCATATTTGTATAGAATATACTAATGTAGTATAACAATTTCAATATTGATATTTATTATTCATAAATGGGTAAAATTTTCAGTGAAATTAGTTGAGAACAAGTATTCATTAGTGTGTACTTCTCCACGCCTTGGTGATTGCACAGCTTGCTGTTGTGTAGACCAAACCTCATCTTAGTGATCAGGATATAGACTCATGACATGCTGAGCAGTCACCTGTTGTCAGTGTTCTTACAACTGAGTTTGGTCATGTGGAAATAAAGATACTTATTAATTGCCACTCACTTAAAATGAACCACTGTCGGTTTAATTATTGTCGTTATCAACCTTCGAGGCCTAGATTGGATTTAAAAATTCATTAATTGAGGGCAATATAGATTAATAATTCCAGTAGATATTTTTTTGCTCTTACATTGGTCAAAATATATTCATATACATTTTTGGTTGTCTTATTTTTTTGTAACCAGTTAAATCAAAAATGCATGCTATAAGCGCCTCATTTTATGCTTTGAAATAAGTATTGTAAGTTCTGTAACACTGGACAAAAATACTTCTAAATTACTTAGAGTTAACATGATTTTATTCTGGCTTGCACAGTGTCACACTCCAGGGGTCTTAGTCCCGTAAGGGCTAATTATTACTAATAAATATTTTTGCTATTATTAGTTCTTTAAATGGAAGGATTTCAAGAAGTTGATTTTGCTATGCCTAAGTATAGTAAAAGCAAATGTGTTTAAACAAGGCATTACTGTAGTCATGAGTGATAACAGGTGAATGGTCATCTCAAGAAGATCTATTACAGCTAAGATCATGTAGTGTTTCATTGAATGACAAAGTTTTATAGAAGGCCATTTCAGGGATAAGAAAAAAGAACTTAAGTTGGAAGTAATGTTTGATGATATATGGTAGTGTATACTACAGGAGCGGCTTAGCTAGGGTTTATTATATATAGATTTTCTTTCCACCTAGCAGTATCAGTTGTTTTTTTGTTCATTAAAAAACTGCAAGTATATTTGGGCATTCATTTTTGTCAGTTGCATTGATTATAGTAGCATACACATTGCTTGCACGATTCATTCGTACAGATGAGTATATGGGATTCCTTGACACTTCTCTATGTGACATATATAATTTAACTCCTAACAAAAGACTGCAGGAAAATGCCCATACATCTAGAGCTTTGCTATATCTCTTGATATATTTTATGATATATACTGAAGAGCTTTTTGATTTATGTAATTCAGCATACAGTGTGCTCAGACTCATTTTCTATAAAAAGAAAAAACATGAAAAATTTCAGCTGTGTTTGAAAATCATTTGCCACATAAAATTATTTTAAAAATCTTTAGTTTAGTTTGCCTTTATTCAGAGACCTGTTGTGTGTTGTATTTTAAAAACATTATTATGGTTTTTAAAGTTTTTATAACACGGGATGACTTGGGACTTCAGACTTCATATGTTTGTTATAATGTGTTATAGATTATCTTTGTATATTTTGTGTAATCTGATGAGTGATACTAAACATATTTTTCATTATCTTTTTGGGAGATGGAAACCAGTATGATTCACCAGTAGCTCTAGTGTTGGTATGAAATTATTACTACTGTCAATGATAATAAAGTTGAAATAACAGATGTTACTCATTATTGTTATTACTACTGATGCCGACCTTGTCTCCCACATATATATTTTCTTTTTTCTAGCTCTCAATTAGTCCCTTTGTTTATATACTATATTAAAAAAAACATGCAGTTCTTCATTCTTTTTTTCTCTTCTTCTCTGTAAAGCTCAACTATACTTTTGAAAATTATACATTTACCTTTTAAGTTGCTACATGTAATACTTTTTTAATACCTAAGATTACTTTTTTTATTTTATTTTTTAAATTTTTATCCCATCATCATGATCATCTTCATTGTCATTATTATCTCCATCTTCATCTGTCATCATCATTTTTTATTGCCATATTTTTTTATAGTCATCATCTTTATCTTTAACTTAATCTTCACAAATCATTATTATCATTCTGAATCATTATTATCATCATTCTGATTCATTATTATTATTTGTACTATGATTATTATTATTTGTAGTATTATGATATCTTTTACTATGAGGGGTTATGAAAAAGAATTTGTCATACGTCTTCCTTTTATTTGACGGTCTATAGGGGAAATATTAAAAGATTTTAGGAATAGGTATCAGTATTGATTACAGTTGACAAGGCATTTAATACTGCTCCTAATAATAATGATGATAGTAGTGTTAATAATAATAGTGGAACACGCCAAAAATACTTTTAAGAATCACACCCAACCAGAATCCATTGAGAAATCTCACTGAATATTGCAAAAAATCAAATACAAAACTGGGGTTTGTGTGAAGTTCCTGGTTGATGAGACAAACTATATCATGGCATGATATATATATAGCTTAATCATTCAGTAGAATTTTGAAGCTTAACAGTCCCATCAACTTGCTCCATAAAAGGTTGAATTTGTGTCTCCCCAAAAGATGTATTAGTGTCATCGTTCGAATTTTCCTCTTTTTGTTCCTTCAGTCTTATGATAATTAAGCTAACAGTATACAATGAGCTTCTTGATTGTCTCCATCCATTTCTGTGTATCAAATGTGATCTTAGGCTTACAGTTCCGTATTATCCAGTTATAACAAGTTTACACCATCAAGTCTACCTCATAACATCAATTTCAGTTTGTTTAACTTTAAAACCAGTACTTTTTTCTTTCCTTGAAATAAAAAAGATGACTGAATTCATATAATTATTAATTTTCTCAAATCACAACTGTTACATACAACAGATACTTCTTTGTGACAAGGTACTAGTTTTTACATTGACAAATAAATTGTGAAAATCAGTCATAAAAAAGGTGTCATTATACAATGTCCTTATACTTTATGAAATCATTGATAATTTGGTCTGTTTTCATTTGCATACCCAGCAAAAAGATGGATGTATAATTACAAAAAAGAAAAAACCATACCAGGAAAGGCAGCACAAAAGTAATTAGACTAGATAATCAAGGATATTCCAGAATGTTTAAGAATATAAAAAGAAAATTCTACTTCACTATAAGTTTGGAGTCGACAATGAGAAAAAATAGACTGAATTGTTTGTGTAAAGAATTCGAACTTGACTATTTCTTTTGCTTATTCAATATAAATTATTTTTCTCTTTTTCTTTTTGGCTCACATGCCCTCTGTACTGGATTATTTTGTTAATATCTTGTATTAAGAAACCTCTTGTATTAGGCCTTTTGAAAAGGGTACAGAGAGGTTTGCTCCACGGAAAACTGTTTGTAGCAGAAATTCGACACCACATTTTAATATATAAGAATTAATTTAAACAGAGATTATTAAACTAAACCAGATTTTTTCAGAGCAATATTGCAATATTTTGTTGAAGTTTGATGGTCTTTGATTGTTCAAGTCCGTCTTTCAGGGGAAGTACTTTATTCATCAATTTAAATAGTGAACTAAAATTTCGAACCAGCAAATTTTGAAGGTGAGATAGGCTATTCAAGAATGCCTTTGTAAATAAAGTGATGCATGTTCTATCACATAGTTTATAAAGTAGGACATTGTCTTGTCTCCAGTAGTGAAACATTTAGTACTTACTGTTAATTTTTAAGTGGCCAATTTCTTCACTTTTTTTATAAAATAAATGCTTGACCTCTGTTTACAGTAGAATATAAAGAACCTTAAAAAAAAAAAAAAAACTCTGGAAAGGTGAGCAAGGTAACAGGAGCATAGATTGGGACATTATTATACCCTTTATCTTGGCTGTTAACAGGCTGTGTAGGATGTCAGAGATCTGTATATATTTAAATATGAAGAAGCATTTCTCAGGTTTCGTATTGTAGTCACATGAATGTTTGGGTAATCTACAGAATTCTTTTGGTTTTGCTGTATGGGATCAATACACTAAAATTCTCTGAAAGCAAACCAGAATATCATCCCTCCATTTTACTAAATACTTTACTTTTGCATCATTTTTTCCCCTCTCTGACTTCCTTTGTTTGGTGCTGAGCAGGATTTAACCATCTTAAGTGATTGCATATCATAGTGAAATGACAGTTGATTATGCTATTGGAAGCTGTTCATAAAGCAGACTATATCCTTTTCTTTAATATCTGGTGATGAAATAAGTATACTGAGAAGAGATATTTTCAATACTTTGTTTTCCATGTTTTCTGAGGTGATACGTCGTATATGCATGATAGCACTTGATTCAGTTATTTGTTCTTTCATTTTAAAACCATCATATCCCCATTTTAGTTCATGCTGTGCACTTTCAAAATT